GGGGATCAAATCCGGGTCCTCTGCAAGAGCAGACAGTGCTCTTAACTGCTGAGCCATCTCTCCAGCCCCAATTTTTTATTTGTTATTATTATTATTATTGGTCTTTTTGAGACAGGGTCTCCCTGTAGCCCCAGCTGGCCTGGAACTCACTATATAGACCAAGCTGGATTTGAACTCCCAGAGATCCACTTGCCTCTGCCTCCCAAATGCTGGGATTAAAGGCGTGTGCCACCACACCCAGCACAAATCAGTTTTTAAAAATAATGTAGATTAGCCGGGCATGGTGGCACATGCCTTTAATCCCAGCACTCAAGAGGCAGAGGCAGGCGGATCTCTGCGAGTTTGAAGCCAGCCAAGTCTCCATGGTGAATCCAGGACAGCTGGGGCTACAGGGAGACCCTGTTGCAAAAAGACCAAAAAATAGTAGTAGTAGTAGTAATAATAATAATAATGATGATGATGATGTAGATTTACCTTTGCTGACAGTAAAATACACTTAATAATTCACAATTTAATTCCAACACATCAACTGACAGAGATAAAAACAGAACTCCAAAATAAGCCCTGAATACATAAGGGAACTCAGTACATACAAAGGTGGTACTAATTTCATTAATTTCAAATTAATGAAAAAAATTACTCAACAACTGTTGTTAGGCCAAAGAGGTAACAATATGGTTAATCTATTTGAGGTTATGAGTAAGGAAATGTCAACATAATTTTTTTTTAATGGACCTAGATGGCTCAGCAGGTGAGGGCATTTGCTAAACTTGAACTTGATGACCTGAGTTCAATTCCCAGAACCCACATGTGAGAAGTGACTTTCACAAATTATCTTCTGAAATGCGCAGGCTCATACAGACAAAAATACTAATTAAATTTTATAAGAGAGAAAAGAGGGGCTGGGGAGATGACTCAGTAATTAAGAGCACTTGCTGTTTTTGCAGAGGACCTGGGTTCGGTTCCCAGCACACATGACTCCTAGCTTCAGGAGGAGTCAATGCCCTTTTCTGGCCTGCATGTGTTACCAGGCACACACATAATTTAACTTAACTCTGGGTAAAATTCCTATAAGCTCTGTATATAGAAAGTGACAGCCTGATATTAAAATTTATAAAAAATATTTGAGTCTTGGTGGTGCATTGCCTGTAATCCTAGCACTTGGCAAGTCGAAACAGGAGAATCAGGAGTTCAAGGTCATCCTAAGCTATATATAGCAAGGGGGAGGAGGGGAGGGGGGAGTGAAGGGAAGAAGGGGGAGGGGAAAGGGAAAGGGGGGAGAAGGGGGAAGAAGAGGGGAAGAAGGAAAGACCAGGGAAGGGGAGAGGAGAGAGGGGCAAGGGAGATAAGAGAGGATAGGGAGGGGAGAGAGGAGAAGAAGAAGAGAGGAGAGAGGGAAGAAGAAAGAAAATGGAAAAAAATGCTGCACTTGCCTAGTATGTGTGAGGTCTTAAATTCAACCTCCAGTAGTGACCCCTTCCAAAAGGGAGAAAAGTTAAAATACCGGCAATATCCAATTTCAAAACTTATTATAGACAGAGTAATTAAGACAATATAACACTGACAAGGACACAGAGAACAATGGAACAGAGAATCCAGAAGCAGATCCACACATTCACCATTTCATTTGTACCCATTCTCACAATGAGCCCAAGCTACCCTTGAACTCAACCAATCCTGCATCAACCTGCTAAGAGCTGGGATTATAGGCATATGCCACCACACTAGGATCTGATCAATTAACTTTCAACAAAAGTGCCTAAACAAGTCAACGGGGAAAAAAAGTATTTTCTGCAAATAACACTAGAACTGCTGGACAGACATGAAGTAGCAGTAGAAGTAAAGAAAGGAAGTCAGAGAGAGCAAGAACTGCCTCAGCAGCAGCATCCCTTACCTCATACCACCCACAAAAATAATTTCAGGTTGGTCACAAACCTAAATGTAGAACTACTGTGTTCCATGGTTTTTGTCAACCTAACACAAACTAGAGTCACGTGGGAAAAGAGGCCCTCAACTGAACAACTTGCCAAGATCTGATAGGCCTGTGACCATGTCTGTGAGACTGCCTTCCTTTCTTCCTCCCTTCCTTCAGGATTTATTTGTTTTAATTCTATATGTATGAGTGTTTACGTGCATGCATGTAATTGTACCACCTGCATGCAATGCCCACAGAGGCCAGAAGAGGGTGTCAGATTCCCTGGAACTGCAGACACAGGCAACTGTTAGCTGCCACACAGGTGCTGGGAACCAAACTCATCCTAAGCTATATATAGCAAGGGGGAGGAGGGGAGGGGGGAGTGAAGGGAAGAAGTGGGGAGGGGAAAGGGAAAGGGGGGAGAAGGGGGAAGAAGGGAAAAGCAAGTGCTCCTAACCATGAGCCATCTCCCCAGTCCCTGTGAGGCATTTTCTTAATTGCTAGTTGATATTGGAGGGCCCAGCCCACTGTGGGCAGTACCATCCAAGGGCAGGAGGGACTGGGCTCTGTAAGAAAAGTAGCTGAGCAAGCAAACCAAGGGAAGCAAGGCAGTAAGCAGCATTCCTCTATGTTCTCTGCTTCACTTCCTGCTTGGCTTTCCTCAATGATGGGACTATGATATGACATGTAAACTGGAATAAACCCTTTCCTCCCCAAGCTACTTTTGGTTGTGGTGTTTATCACAGCAACTGAAAGCAAACTCAAACTACCAAACTTCTAAAAGAAAAAACAATGAAAATCTTTGACATTATAGCATCAAATTTTTTTAGGCAAGAAGATCTTTAACATTTCACATATGGCCACTTTAAGACGTGTTCAAAACCTTCAAACATCATGTACAATAACCAAAATTCCAAAACAACCCATAAGTATCTGAAAACAAACCAAAAGTCAGGTGAGGATAAACAATTTGATGTAGCCATACAGTAGGAAAATAGTAAACAAAAAGAACAAACTACTAGTACACTGAACAAGGGTGAGCCCCACAACCATACTGAAGGAAAAAGCTCGACACAGGAATATACTAGTAAGTTCATGGAAAGATCCTACTTTCCATGAAATTATGGAAAAAACTTTACAGTGACAGAAAATAGATCAACCA